TTCTACTTTTTCTTTTAAAAACACTTTGTATATGTTAAAATGTTCTAACTATATTATAATTTTTCAAAAATTAAAAGATTTATCAGCCACAATACAAAGTACGTGTTATTCTTTAATCACTATCGTATTTTACTTATTAAAATCATAATTGCTTTAAATAATAATAATATGTTTTTTTATTATATTTACTGTGTACGTTTTTATTTTTTTCTTGTAAAATAAAATTAACAAATTTTTGTTTAACTACCACTCCCAAATTGACTGTTAATCAAAGTGTTAAATAACGATAAGTGACAAGTAATGATGATGATAAAATGTTTTATCACATTTGAGATATTCTAAATATAATATAGCAGAAAAATTAAAAGTAATAAGATAAAACTTTTTGCAATTTTTTTATTTTTAACAGTAGATTGATTGTAAAGTGTAATGATAAATGATAAAACAATTTCAGACTTAAAATTAATAAAAAATTTTATATTGCTACAAAAAATTAAAATAATGAAATAAAAATTAAATAATTAGAATATTCTTAGTGTGTTTCATCACTTTATTATTAAATATGCGTTTTTTACGTCAAATAAATTTTATATTATTGAAAAATAAAGCTAGTAAAACTTTTTGAAAAAGATAAAAAATAAATTTATTATCTTATAAAGTAGAATTTATAATTTTTAGCTTTTGAAATATTTTTTCCAAAAATAAAAAATAATTAAAATTTAATAAGCCATATAAATTTACAGAAATACCTAAATACATGATTAAAATTTACAAAATGTTTTTATAAGCATTTTCCGAAATATAATTACGGAATATGATCATTAATTTATGACGATTATATAAAATTATTTCCAAGCTAAAAAGTTAATTTTTGTGTTATTTGTTAGATACACGTAAATTACGATAATTTGTTAGAAATTGCAAAATCTTCTGCAAGCTTTTGGCGCTTTAGTATTCCGTACGTTTCACAAATATAATATCTGGTAGCTAACAGATTAGTACAAATGTGTGTATCGTCGTTTCGCGTTGTTTTATTACGATAAGAAGCAAAAATCATGGTGCAACTACCGTGATAATCAGCCGCCGATCACGGAGGCATTATCGTAGAAACGTGCTTCGCTGCTTTATCACGTGCTCCACGCATACGATTCATGATCACGAAACACGCATGGATTGCAATCGAGACACCTGTCTCACGTGTTGATATCAGTGGCCAATCGAGAAACAGAAACCTTGACTCACACCTCTCGAGATTTCAGATCGGCTAGCAATTGAACGACAAAGTTTAATACGTTTTTAAGTAGTGCAAATACAATCTGATAATGTTCAGACCGTGCTATGCTGAGATTTAATGAAGTTCCAGTTAATTGTTTACAAGAGACTTTGTCGTTTCCGAAATCCTCCAAAGTGCGCAAAACATGCGTCAATTGCGATGCTGTACGAAATATCACTGATCAAAGAAATTTTATCACTTAATCAATGAAATTTTACCACTTAATCAAAGAAATTTTATATATTTGTAAGTTAAAACTGTCAATTTCTTTTTATTTTCTTCAACAAATATTATGTTATTTTCTAATACTATTACTTCTACGTTGTTGTTCAATGTATTAACAGTTAAAGTTCCAGTATCACGTACTTAAGAAATATGCGTTGAATATATAAATGCATCGTTCAAGAGAGATTTTTCTTGTTAACGATACAGCCTTTGTATAAATATTTTATATGAAAATACACTCACAAATGTTAGATTAATTTGATACTACAATTGGTGAGAATAATCATATTTGCACAATAATATTAAAATTTTTTTAATCATTAGTCGCAACGCAATTTGATGTTAATCACGCGCGCTTTGTAGTGAGAAAAGCAATTACTGTGAATAGTGAATTTGTAGACGTACAATAGCAATTTTTGCGCAGAGTCAGAGCGAAACTGATGTACGTAAAAAAACTTCCAATATATTTGCAGAAATAATACAAAAAAAAATTTTTTTAAATAAAAAACTTTATTAATTGATTTTATAATAAAAAAGTCTCTTTACTTTTTAACTTTTCTTAGTAAATATAGAAAAAAAGAAATTTTATATTCATATTATATAGAAAAATATTCATGATTTTGTAAATATATTTTAAATTCGGTATAACTTTTAACATCAATATTTTAATTGAAATAAAAATATATAGATATATCTTAGCATAAAACATATAGATAAAAGCAGAAGATTATATCTTTACTCACCAAAAATATGATACAAAAATATCAATAATTAATTACCTTATCTTTGATATTGTGTAAAAGTGTCAATGGTAATACAATGGTAATTTTTAAATATCATTATGTATATTGATAATCATATTTATAATCAGTATAGCAATTGAGACGGAAATCAGATAATATTATCAAAATTGAAAAAGAGTGAATAATAATCATCATATTATCATTTGCATTAATATTTCATAAAATATTTTTTAAAATGATAAAATAATTTTTAAAAAGTACAGTTTTACTTAAAATTAAAAAACTTAATATTTTGACATATATTTATCATATATCATACCTTGTACTTTTCTTATCGAGAGCAATGTATAGTGATAAAAAAATTAATAATATTACGTGTATTTTAATAATGACAACAAAACGTGAATTACTAATAAATAAAATAGTAATACAAAATCAAGAAATAGACGTAGATAAGAAATTTTACTACAACTAAACATTAATATTATTAATATATCTTAAATGTTGTAAAGACTATAAATTAACATATGCTAATGATAAATTTTAATATACTAGGTGCGCAATTAAGTTTCCGGGTTTTTTTTATCAATGCAAAATGGAAAATTTCAAGAGAAATACAAAAAACGGTTTATTCAAAGTATCGTCCCTCGCTAGCTACACATTTTTGCCATCTCTCTGGCAATACATGAATACCGCGACGATAAAACGACGCGTCTTTGCATCGAAACCATTTATCCAATCAGTTTTGCACTTCTTCGAAATTGGCCAAGTGTAGCCCAGCTAAGCCATGTGCCATCGACCGGAACAAGTGATAATTGGAAGGGGCCAGGTCTGGTGGATACAGCGGGTGCGGTAGCAGATCCCATTTCAGCGTTTTCATGGTGTCCTGGACGATGGAAGTGCGATGGCACGGAACGTTGTCGTGCTGCAATATCACTCGTTCGTGTCTCGTGTCCCATTCTGGCCGTTTTTCGAGCAATGCATGGTTCAAATTTATCAGTTGTTGTTGTCTTGTGTTTGCGTATCATTTTCATCCAATAACGCTTGCAGATCGGCGTCCTCAAATGTTTTTGGTCTTCCGGAGCGCTCCTTGTCCTCAGTGTCGAAATCGCCATTTCTAAAGCGTTTAAACCAATCTTCACAAGTAGTTTTCGATTGTGCATGTTCGCCGTAGGCTTTCTCAAGCAAACGGCGTGCTTCAGCTGCATTTTCTTTCAAGTTGAAGCAGAAAAGCAAAGCTTCCCGCAAATGCTGTTTATTTGGCACAAAACTCGACATCTTTATTGTTAGAAAAAATATTTTTGCGTTGCAATATGTGTTGGTATTATGACTGGTTATTGTTGACAGATGTCCAAGTTAATAAAAAACACAACTTTAGACATGTATATCGACTACATGTATCGTTAGCGCCATTCATGTGTGAAACCCGGAAACTTAGTTGCGCACCTAGTATGTAAAAAGAATTTGAATATTGTGTGAAAATTGCAAAATATTGATGTAAAGCTGTAAAAACCTGATTAAAAATAGATAATAATAGATGCAATAAATTAATAGGTTTAAATTATTATTTTGTTTTAGTGCGCTTGTAGCAACAATAATATTGTGCAATTTATGAAACAAGTTATGATAAACGTTACTTATAAAACAATATTTCTCAGAAAAAAGAGACTTACACAGGTTATCATTAAAATATTGTTAAAGTAAAAGTTTTCTGTCAATTAAGAGTCAATAGAAGTTGATTAATATAAAATAAATGTTTAATTCAAAATTTGTAATTAAAATTAATTTATAAATTTTTTATATATTTTTTATTCACATTTTTCAATCAGTGGCGATATTAAAACACTCTTACTTAAATAGCTAAATCTAATAGTGCAATCTAATTTAAGTCGCACTCTTTACACTTACCATTACTCAACAAATAAACAGCATAGAGATAACTATCGATATGGATACTTTTTTAAAATAGAAACAATTGAGGTTGCAAACACGTGAATTAACAGTATTCGTTCACGCAAGAAAATGTATGTATTCATGTATTATATTCTCAATGTATTGTATTCTCATGTATTTTCTACATACTTTATGTGCATATATAAAGCACTTTAAAATCTTTAATCTGAATTTAATAATACATTTTTTAATTAATTTAGAGTAATATAATTAATAATTAATATACTAAGTAATTAAATAAAACTTTTTTAGTTTAAAGCAATTAAAAATGTATCAATATTTACAAACACAACATATAATATAAATTTATACACACGCAAATTTTTTTCAAAACTTTAATTAGCAATATAATTACTAAAACTTAATATTCAACATTAAATATTAATAAACGATAATCAAAGTCTTATATTTTTTAAAAAAGATTCAATTTAATTTTATGTTTGTCCGCTATTAAAATTAGATTCTATCATAATTTATTTAAATTTGTCATAATTTATTTAAATTATAATTTTCATACAGCAAATTAAAATAAAAATAAAAACGAGAAAACAACAGTTTTCAGTTTTCTTTGCCTCAAAACTGGGAAAGATCCTGTGGCAAGATGCTTCGCGCTTCCGGGCGCACGAATTAATCTACTATATCGCGGACATAAGACAAAATGGCACGAAGCCGGTCAATTACGGTCGGATTAGCAATACATGAGGGGAATCCCCCTCCTCCCTTTCTGTACGCAGAATCTGCGTACCCAGTGTCCCTTGCACGCTTCACCACCTTGTGCACACACGATCTGCCACGGCCTTTGAAACGCTATATAAAGTGACAAAGCTGGCTCGTTGGCGGGCACGCTCCGGTATCTCGCTCAAGCTTTAAACTCACGCTTTCCGCCCGCGTCGCGCGATCCGAAAAGAAGTCAGACAGCCACGGGCGGCTTTTGCCACGATTCTATCGTTAGCTTATCGAACAGGAAAACGTCGTGTTTACGCGACGTGATTTAAAGGACGCCGCCAGTAGTACCGCGCGCTTCATTCCCGAGGATGTCACACATCATGTCGCACATCGCTGAGAATTGACACCGTTGAATTGACAAATCGAATTGACACTATCGAAGTGTTACACCACATTTACATTCCGTCTCACGTAAGTACAACATAATTTGTTATTTACAGTATGTAAGATTAAAGCTGCACTTCAAGGTGCGTGAAAAATATATGCGTCAAATCAGTCAGTTTGAATACTTAAGAGGCAGCAAACCAGGAACTGGGTCGACGAGTGACCCTATTCGTATGTACACGCTAATATTATGAGTGCGTAACGTGTGTCGTTTGAGCGACGTTCTGAAAAATTGTTAATTAATATTGTAGTGGAATGTTTTTCGAAAGACAAATCATTGAAGCATTTTAATATAGGAAATTTATAAGTATAAAATATACACATATTGAGAATATATTAAATATTAAAAATTAAATTGTCCACTTGTTTTTATTTAAACAAGATACAATATATTTCTTTAATTAATTTTAAAAAAGTTAAAAAGAAAAAACTCAACACAATTTAAATATAAAATATATGAAAAATTATTGAATATTGACAAGTATGTATTACAAATATTATATAATTTTACTGTGATTGCTATTTCAATGCTCTAATATATAAAGGTAGTATAAATTTGTTTAAGCTGGTTAATAAGCAGAAAACTTCTTTAAAGATGTCACATAGAAGATAAAAAATAAGCGCGTGTAACAAGTCATCGTATAATTACATTCAATTACATCCTGTCGTAAGCAACCAATTTTCAAACTATCCACTAAGTATCTATAAGAACGAAAACACTTTGCAAAGAAACGCAAAAGAAGAATTATGCAATTGTTTTTCTTTAAAACACACAAAGATACACTACCGCTCAAAAGTTTGGAGCACCTTACAATTTTTAAATAAAATTGTTTCTCACAGACATATTTATTTTATTAAAAATATCAATACTTATTTGCGAACGTACGTCTTTGGATAAAGTTTAAGGAAAATAACAAAAAATTACTTATATTTACAATGTTAGTGGGTAAAGTTAATTAAAAAATTATCGAAAAATTGTAGAATGCTCCAAACTTTTAAGCGGTAGTGTATATCGAAGAGTCGCACATAAACATTTACAATCGCTTATGTAAATATGAAAAAGCGGAAAATAAACGTGTGAAGAAACATTGATCAAGATTTCACGATGTAAGTTTTAAAATACATTTGAAGTTTAGTAATTTTATTAGCTCGATAACTGACTTTAGTATAGTTCCCCTTTGTCTACGATGGTCATTTAACGCAAAGCTAATGGTGCATCAAATTACGAACAGCTGATCGCGTCGGGCGAGCTACGATTTACGCTGACCGTAATGTCACACACTATACACTTTAATATCAATAAATGCGAATCACTGTAAAGATTGGAGATAATCGTGCAGCAATGAAATAATACGAGATGATGTAAGGATATGGAGACGATTTCTTATTTGAACTGTCTAATTTCTGTACAGACATTTCGCTGCAATTGAGAAATGCCAATAACATGAGGAAGTAAAAGTGATGGTATTTTTCCTTCATGTTTCTGAGGAGATATAATAAATTGTTAAAATAAATATTTACATAAAAAATTATATTTCCTGCAAAACTGTATCTTGAAGTTATGTAACATGAATTCAAAGATTTTCAAAATATACGTATGAAGTAGTGTGAAATAGACTTACGTTCTATTTTATCATTTATGTTGCGATATGTTGCAAAACTCTCATAATTCAAAATTTTTATTTTAAACATGTGTTTAAATTTGATAATAAACGCATAAAAGAATGTACACAATTTATGATCGACATTAAAAATAAAATAAGAAACAGATATATCGTTAAAATAATAGTCATTAAATTAATATTTTTTTTGAATAAATTTAATATTAATTGAAAATTCCGCAGCTTTGATAAGAAATATTAATCAATTTTTACCACTTACAAAATAATAAATTATTGATCTGATGTGTTGCAGGAAAAAAGAAAGAAGGACATTCATAATGAAGCTTTACATTTTGTTACTTTGCGTCGTGGCGGTTCTTAAAAACTCCGAAGCGCTGCCTAAAGGATCCACAGATTACGAAGGTTTATTATATTTTACATTATTCATTATATCATTTATCATTACATTATATCAATCTTTTTACTTTCTCTAATATTTGTGGAGTATATTATCTACAATTTTTATTTAATAAATTTTATTTAATAAATAAATACAATATATATGTATCAATTTTAAATGTGTAACGTGCAACTATTTGTTAATAATGCATTTAAAATTAATTTTTTTAAGAAAGCAGTTTGTTCTTAAACGAACATTTTACAAATATATGTTTTATCGTAGATTGACGATAAAATAACTGTGATACAAAGTTCATTTTTTATCAATTATTGTTGAGATTCCTGAATTTTTTTATTTAATAACAAACTATTTATAAGTTTAAAAAAATTAATGATTGATGAACGATAAGATATATGTTATAAAATAGTTTTTGTCTAAAATACAAAATTTTTCTTTACAATAATGAATAAAAAAATCTAACATTTTATCATTTTAACAACTAAATTATTATTTCAATCAATGTAGACCACAGCTCAATCTAAATGTTCTGATTGTTCAAATGTTTTCAAAGTATCTTTATGATGTCTTCAACGTATTAAATTGTATTGTAATTTGCACTTTATGATGGAAATAATATTTCTATATATAATGGATAGTATTTTTTGGCAACAAGGCGAAACTTTGATCTCTCATCAGATATGTCCTTTTGGCTGAAGTCTGGTCAAGAAACCCTGCATAAGATCCTGGCGCACCGGAACAACGAAAACCGTGCCAAGAACGTGATTATCTTTATCGGGGACGGTATGGGCCTGTCTACCATCACGTCCGGTCGTATCTACGTAGGTCAACTCAACGGCCAGACCGGTGAAGAATATCAACTCGCGTTCGAGAAGTTTCCCAACACTGGCCTCGCCAAGGTGGATATTTAAATTGCATCGATCGCGTCTTTAATCTCGGCGGTCTCGCGAGGCACAACGTTATTGGGAAATCCTGTCACGTTAAGCCGCTTAATTCCGCGCCTTTGATAAGGACACCGCGTTTATCCACGACGAGAAAATACGACAAACGCGGCGTCCGCATTACAATTAATCCTCGTCAATCTTGTAATCTCTTGATAAATGTAAAAATTCGTCTTTTGTGTGCATTTATCGTGCATCTACATTAACGATACAATTAACGCATTTGCCACCTTATCGAGAATGATAAAGTAATTAACAATTTTATCACATGGATCGATATTGTGCTTTGAAAATTTTGATTAATTAAATACCGATCAATAATGCAAAAAAGATTCTTTTTTAATCCATTTTTTATTATTGGCTACCAAAATTACGTGTACATAATTAAATATAATTACAATTATCTTATGATTATTATGTTAATTTACTTATTTATTATGTAGACTTACAATGTGGACAAGCAAGTGCCTGATTCTGCGGGAACAGCTACTGCTATCTTTTCCGGCGTAAAAAGCCGATATAGAGTTATTGGATTGGATGGCAGAGCCGAGGTTAAAAACTGTGATAAAAAAATTAATGAAGTTAGCAAAGTGACAACAGTAGCAGATTGGGCGCAACAATCTGGCAAAGACACAGGTGAGAACCTTGATTTCTGAAGGCTATACAGTATCTTCCTTCTTTATCTCTTAAGAATTGCAGAATTATATGTACACTTTATTTTATCTTTATATATCACAAAAAAAAACGTCGCTTTTGACTTCATTAGTTTCGAATTTTTTATAATGTTATATATAAGAGATCAGTTTCACAGATAAGAAAATTTTTGTAATTTAATATTTGAATTATAAGCAACTTCACTGAAAATGAAACCTTAAGAAAAACTAATTAAGAATTTAATCGTAATAATAGAATAACAATAGTTTATCAATTGCTGTTTGAAACTTTGATTGGGCAACGAGTAAAACGGAGAATTTAATCGATAACTTATATTCATTGCGGTGAAATCGATCCTTGACATATAAGGTTGCGCTTTCGCTAGTATTGAAAAATATTTCAACAATTCTTAGAAGATTGAAAATAATTTGAAAGAGTAAAATAAGAATCATTCACGCATCGTTGATTATTGTCGATTGATTAAGCTGTCGACTTTACACAGCTTGAGATATCGAGTAAGATAACGAATTTTACAATTGTATTTTTGTTATTGATGTGGAAATAAGCTTATGTAGTCTAATTTGATTATAAATATAACGATAATGTACACCGATTAGAATATAATTAACTATATTTTAATAATTTAATAGGTTTTTTTTAATATTCTTGATTTGTTTATGCTATATTTGATATGCACATTCATGCTGTGCATACGGCAGTTTTATACAATTTGATGTTTAATGAAAATCAATATGAAACAAACAAGACTTTAGATCAAAATATTATTATTAACTTCCAGTTAATATCATGGCAAAAATATAATTTATACATACTTTTTAAAATTAAGAAATTAATTTGTCACATTTTTAATTAACTAAACGTAGTATTTTTAAATTTTAAATTGAAAATGCGCTTTAATTAATAAAGTTTAATTTTTGTACGAATTAAACTATTAAAAATACATGTAGAAATGACACTAAAATACAAATATTGCATTTACGTAACATAGTACGCGAAGCGAGTCAATTTTATAAAGAACACGTGTCACGCATGATCAGTTATTCTATTAATGTAAGTGTTGGTACTGAGTGGACCTTGTTGTCATACACAGTGAAAGTGCTTAATAAACGAGGAGGTCATGAGTCGACCTTCTACCTTATCGAGGACGATTAGTCGTCTGTGACTGATTTCTACTTTGACAAAATAATAAAGAGCTTTTTGTATGACAATCCGAGTCGCTGATTCAACACATTTCTTTTCTGGTATATCTTGACATTTTGCCGGTAGTTGTTTTATGCGAATAAATCAGCATAAAAATATATTTCACAGGCGATAAATTGTGACGTAATATAATATGCATATATTATATTGTAATGCAATATTAATATTGATCGTAAATATTAATATAATTTTGGTATAGGCATAAAAGGGCCCAAATTACGAAAGTCCTGAGTTAACACTGATATCACGTCACTGAATAAGCAAATTTCAGAAATAATTTGTGTACGATTAATTAACAGGATTTGTTACTACTACTCGCATCACCCATGCTACTCCTGCGGGGCTTTACGCACATACTAATAGTCGAGATTGGGAGTGTGATACCTCGATACCGAGAAATCAACAGGATTGTGCCAAGGATATCGCGAGACAACTCATCGAAGATGAACCGGGAAGTCAATTTAAGGTATTCTGTCGCATCTACACTCTTGCTGTCATAAAAATTAATATAATTTTAAAATTAACATATTTTATTATAAGAGCATATAATAATAGTAGTAGATTTTTTATCAAAAAATATTACGTTCTAATATTGACAATATTTATTAAAAGGTTATTATGGGTGGCGGTGCACAATGTTTGGGCGTGAGAGTGGAACCGATTGATCCTGATGGCTGTCTGCGATCTGATGGTAGAAATTTAATAAAGGACTGGAAAATAACGCACCCGAAAGGAAAAGCCGTCAACAACACGGAGGATCTTATGTCCATCGACATCACCGACACGTCGCACATCCTTGGCGTATTTTCGCCTAGTCATATGCCCTATCACACCATGAAGACTGCGGAGACGCCCTCATTATCGAACATGACAATGCAAGCTATAAAATTGCTAAAGAAAAACAAAAAAGGATTTTTGCTAATGGTCAGTAATCCTCATTAAACCACATTGAATATTTATACCGATCGCAAATCAAATTGCGAACGAGCATTATGCGCTCAATGAATATTGAAATTATATTAATGAAATAGATACGTTAATCAAAATTGCGCATTAAAGAATTCTAGCGGACTAACTGATAATGCAATTCTTATGCAAATTACATGATCATGACCATTTTCATGTAATGCATTGCTAGACGCGTATTCTTAGGGTTTTATCTTCCCGGATGCCTGTCAAGGTTGCATTACTTGAGCGCATAATTCTTTACGCAATTTTATGAGAGCGTCGCAATTGCCTAATTAGAAATTGTAGGAAATAGCATATCTATAGTTGACAAAATCACATAATAAAACATTAATGTGGTTTAATTTTTAATGTTCTAGGTTGAGAGTGGCAAAATCGATATAGCCCACCACGCAAATTGGCCGCAATTGGCCCTTCGCGAATTGTACGAGCTCGAGGAAGCGGTTAAGGTAGCTCTTCGACTGGTAAACTTGGAAGAGACATTGATCATCGTTACTGCCGATCACTCACATTCGTTCACGCTGAATGGATATCCCACGAGAGGCAACAATATTTTGGGCTTTGGCAACAAACCTGACCAGAAGCCATATGAGACGCTTTCTTACGCCAACGGTCCGGGATACTTCTATCATCGAAGAAACGACAGCAAAAACGTCAATGAGACCTGGAGAAAAATTGAAGAAGATCCGAATCGTGACGATCCCTTCTACAGGCATTTTGCTCCCATTTATCTCAAAGACGAGACGCATGGTGGCGAAGACGTTGGGGTTTACGCAATTGGTAAGAAATACAATATTTTAAAATTTCTGCTAACAATATAATTTTTATGTTTGCAAAAGAACCAATCTAGTGTCTATAAAAAATTACATTTACAACGTATATTAATTTAGCCCGCTATCACTTTAATTATTCAATTCATTCAACAAAAAATAGTGCAAAATAATATTTTGAGATACTATTTTAGGGTACTTTATAACTAGCAAATTAGTATAACTTACAAAAAGTTAAAAAAATGTTGTTAATTAAATATTATTTTTGCACATTTATAATACTTTGGAATTAAGAGAATTAACATCGAATAAAGAAAATCTTTAATTGTTTATTTCCGGAAATAACAGTTTCAAATGCGGTGTAATAAATAATATTTTTTTTTAGGTCCCTACGCACACTTGTTTCGAGGCACTTTTGAGCAGAACTACATTGCTCACGCCGTGGCATACGCAGCGTGCTTTAAAGACTGGCCATCTCATTGTGATAACGCTTACCATCGTTATTTCTATGACATTAATATGGCACCAAAAAAAGCGAAATTTAATTCAGCAGTACAAAACACCATATCATTAGCGGCTTTGTTGATTTTCGTGTTGATAACGTTTGTACGGCTATAATAAACGATAACAATCGCTTTTTTATAGTCGAATAAATGATTTCTTATAATCCGCGAGAATAATTAACTTAAACAAATTAGTGTTAGTACAAATAGTTTTAATTTTAAGATTTTTTTATATGTACAAAAAGATTATTTTAAATATTCTTTTTTGCACACCTACTATCTTTTAACACGTTCACAACGTAAACTATTCTTTAAATCCATTCCTAAGGATGTAAATTTTGATGAAAATATAAAATAGTTTTTAGATCTTATTTAAAAATAAAAGATTTTTTGATATTATAATTTTTATACTTTTGGTGTATACAAATTTTTCGCAAAAAACCAGTAATAGATAAACATGAGAAGTTGGAAGCTATCAATAAATCATCACCGATGTCGCTAATATTAATAAGTTAAAAACAATAAATTGTGATAACAAATGTATACGATTGTTTCAGATGTTTTCTTTTACTACTTTGCATATTTTTCTTATAGTATAATGTAAATGTAATTATACTGTACGATATATTATTTTTCATAATTTTATTTATTACAATGTTTAAGTACGAACGCAATGTATTTTTTTAAATTATCGTAACAATAACAGGTTTAAACCTGAAGAAAAATTGAGTTGCAATTTGCTGTGAATATGCTGCTCACTTTTATAATATTTAAACATAATAATAAAAGAAAATAAAATAATATTAAATTGTAATATAAAAAAAAACACATGTTATTTATTTATATTTCGAATACAAATACATTTAAAAACTGCCGTTGAATTATCATGAATAAAGTTTATGATAATGTTATATATAACGAAAAATTGTGAATATTGCTATTTCAAAAAGAATAAAATTGTTTTATGTATATTTTGATATTTACTTAAACAAAATAATTATTCCTATTAGTATATGCATATATGTTAATATATATATATATTAATACCCTACATAACAATATACATATTTTGTTATAACTAGATAAAACAGTTATGAGTTGAATACTTCGACCGTGCAATACGTAAATTATAATTATGCTACGGTTGAAATAAAATTTCTCATTACATTGTTCGTAAATTTCATGTTACAGCAATTTTAAATTTAAATTGTACATTATAATTCAATCTAATTAGAAATAAAACTACTAAAAATATTGATATATATATATAGAATAAAAAAGTCAACAAAAAATATGTATCAAATAAGCAAAAAAGTTTGTGCGATTTTCTATATTAAATTTTTTTTAATATTTAGTGTAAAAAATCACACCAAAACTTTTTTACTATATGTTACAATCCATTTTTCCTCAAATATTCAAAAAAGAAACTTATATGGTATTAAATGCAAAATAAGTTCAAGGAAATTTTTTACAAATTTTTTTACGATTTTCCCTTTATGATAGCGAGATAGTAATTTTTATAGATAAGTGGCACCGTATCGTCGCTGACAAAATTTCTATCAGGTTTGATCGAAGCAAATGGATTTTTTCGTGGCTCCAAAATCGTTTCCACATCAGCAATCGATTTTATCCTGATCATTTCCCGAGGTATTTCGTGCTTTGTATAAGACGTTACACAAACGGGAACTTTTGTTTTACAAATTTTCTTTATCGTCTCCGGCCACGTGTCTCTGCCATCAAAACCAGTTTCTCGATAAAGTCCCGGATTAAAGAGACACACAATGTGCGGTTTTATAAATTGTTCGGAATGATAAAAATCGTGATAGAATTTTCCAGGATGAAATGAAACTTTCACGCGTCGATTGGATGATTTACACGCCGGACACATCTTTACAGCGGTCAATAAATTTAATGGTACCATTGGCAATCGCATTTCCGGGCCAATAAACATTAATCTAAGATGCTTCAAATTCGGTAGCAAATGTAAAAAAAATGTTTCCCACACGTACAAATTTATACACTCAAAGTGAAATTCGGCGCCTATTATGTGAACCACGAGAGTGTCGATAATCTCCCAATCTTGGCAAGAAATTTGCATGGAATATAATGTTGTCAATGGAATGGTTGATATATGAGACAAGCTGCAATACGTGTAACAGTCCATGCTGCGATAATATGTCGAACAACTATAAAGTTGCGCCATCAATGTATCTAAATTATTCGGCATATAAAGTGGGCTTTTCTGAATAGTATCCGGAATCTCGGGATTTACATACCCGTTTTTATGTTGCATGATCAATATTCTCCCAAACACTTGGAATTCCCGACACCACTCTTCGTGTCCGCTTTTATGATTTTCGCAAAACAACTCGATTCCGCATATCGAACAGCACCTCAAATCCTTTGAGAAACAACGACAGCTGCGACAAACGCGAGGGTAGAGAAGTATCTCTTTTTCCCATAACTCAAGAGACCTGACCAAGCGGCATTCTACAATCTCAATTAGTTTTAGCCGATAAACACGATAATCGTCTGCGGTGAGTTTCGGAAGTAATGACAACCCTTCGCCGGTTGTACAAACTTCGGTAAGAAGTTTGCACAAGTCGCGATGCTTTGACCAGCCTTCCTTCTTGTGTTTGACAGTGCAATAAGAAACCATGCCACAAGATTCGCAAGTTTCCTTCGATCGCTCCATGCAGATCAGGCACAAGTTCGACACAAAGACAAAACGCGGCCAGAAGTTCAGCTCGAGGGTATCTTCCTCTTCGTCGCTGTCGTCCGACGCTCGATGCTGCGTGGAATGCACGAGTGGCAATTTCATACGCGAGTAAACGTCAATCACAGTTTTGAGAATGAAAATATTTTCTTCTTTCTGTTCTACTATTTCTTTTTTATCAGAATTGGATTTTTCTGTTTTTTTTATATTACTTTCATAGATTTTTTGTGTAACACCGGAAATCTTTTTTGCATTCTTTTTTCTGCGACCCATTGTCGAAAAAACTGAAATAACGATAAAATAAATATAGTGAATTCCAAAGATTTTTATTAGTAGAATTTATTCATATCAATAAATTAAATAATCGCATTTATATTATTGATATTACAAATAAAATAAATTAAAATATGATTTAAATTTTCGAAAGCTATTGTAAATTATGTAATTTAAAAAATCAGAGTGTTTTAAGTCCTGCCAAAGAATATATATAGATTATAATTTTACTATATTACAGCACAGAGTGATGTTTCATGCGCATGTTCTGTAATTAACAAATCAAGTGTGCTGTAAACGATAATAATTAAACACAACCGCTACATGCTCTACTTGCGTTTAATGGCCTATTCTATTTCTATCCAAAAGAGAAAACAATTATTTCCCAATTTAGCGCATACCATATTCCGTTAAATGTTACATTATTATATCGAGTATTCATTCATTTGAAATTTCAAACGCATTATTAACATTACTGCTCTTTGCATACGTTACATTAATAAATACAATAAATTGTATATAAGTAGGCAAATTATTAAACATTTAAATTCTTACCTTATTAAATTCTTTATCCTTCAGAAGCCGCAATATTTTATTTGAAAAATTTTATACACAATACGTAAAAAACGCTGTGTTAAAAACAATACTGTGCAATGTATTACCAAAATTACTTTAATTTAAAGACTCGTTCACAATTTTGAGTTGCAATTTTTTCTTAGCACAAATTATCAGACGTCTTGATTGTCAGGGCACTACAAGCTTTTGTCAGGGCATGAATACGTCGATGGGCACTATGCCTAGTTGCCCGGATATAAAGTATTTCAAGCACTACATGCTGGCAATGGTATAAGCGGGTAGTCGTATTCGAGCATCGTGTGACGTGAGAAAGCATTACATCTTTTTGTTAGAACATCTGATAGTCGGTAACTAATAAGCAATAAAATAGCTTTGACATTCTTCTGATTTGCATAGTGTATAGCATAATGTACAGTTTGTATAATTAATATAACTAAGAAATATATATGTACCAATTAACATAGATGTATATGCCATATGTGTGCAAGCTATTATTAACGCTACAGATCATGTCCGGAGGTGAATTTACAAATTCATTCTCTTGCGCTTTTGCGTGCATGCGCGTCGTTTTATCACATGAGTATTAATATAATATAAGTAGATATATATTTTTTTTATATGTATTTAAAATACTTTTATAAATATTCAATAAATACTCTTATAATTTTATATAATCACACTTGTACTAATATACAAAGAATATCTGCAGTAATCAGTTTTATTTTTCTATTCAACTCATATGATACAATTAGCGCTTTCTTTTTAATTTTTTAATAAAATTGACAGCGTCTCTTTAAACATATTACATTGTAAGTTTTATATTTGATGTATTTTAATTAACTAATAAGTTTAAGTTTGGATTCAAAGTACAGGTAAAAATGGTCTTTATATTTATTCGAATAATAGAAGCGTTCAAGTTTGTCATATTCTGTATTTGGAAACAAACTTCAATTGCGAGAACTTCGAGAATCGACTAGTCATCCGATAGTATCGAACCTGCGTAAGACGTGATTGATGATTGCGCTACGCGTGAGTACGTGGTGCTATCATCGGTGGGTTAGGATCAGTAGGAAATCGTCGAAAGATTTTTTTAAGGAGTTTGTGATTGTTTTGAATATTTCACACGGAATCTGTACTTATGAATGGCCGATGGATCAGCACACGAAAAAGAATCGTTGTGCATTCGAGGTATGTAGTGCATTTTGAGGTTATGGCAGCCGAACTGTCAAATAATAATGTGGATAAAAAAATTGTTTTTTCGTTAAAATTCTCTTATAAAGATCATTTCAAAGATATCAAATTTTTTAACAAAATTTTACGTGCATTTATACGGTATAATTATATTTTATGTACGATACAACTTTTGTATAAAAGTTATAGCATTCAGTGCAAATATTTTGAGACACGAAGAAATGTATTTTGTTTCAGTAATAGAAAAAAGAATATTATTTTAAAAATTCTGTTTAGAAAACAATATTAAAAATTTAAAGAATATTGATTGAAAAAATGTTACAGTATCGTAAACACAGCAACATTTTAAAGAGAGAAACGAAGACAGTAGTAAATGAGGTGCAGTAATTAAAAAATATGGCAGATTTTAAGATCTTAAATATAAAATATTTATATAAAATTATGAAGTATGAAATTAAATTTAAAAGTAAGTTTATACAACATATATGGATTGAATTTGTTTGTTACTCTTGCGTAAAATATTGTGATAACTGTTTAACAGCTGATTACATGTTTTTATGAGTCACTTTATTTGCATGCTTTTGGTTTACGTATGTGTTTTTATGTATAGTAGTAATCTGCTTTTATCAGAAATGAATGGCGAAACACTGTTATAATTATACTTATCGGAGAAGGATATGTGAATTTTGTGGTACAAGAAGTAGTGTAGTAGTTTTACATTTCAACTGAATAGATTACTGATTTGAAAAATAAAATATAAAATATCCAAGTGTAAAAATAATATTTGCATATTGTTTATGTATATAAATAAATGTATTTAATAAATATTTTCCATTATTTTAATAAATTAATTAATTAGATTTCAAATTTTGTTGCTCATTATTCTTTGCTTAATTAATCAATTTACAGATTATTTATAAAAATTGCAAATGATGAGTATTATTCATATGTCGTTATGTGATTTTTTTGTATAGATATCAGATATATCACGATCACATAAAATTATTTCGAAGTTGCTGTAATAAGAACATAAGTTTGCTGTACGATTCACTTCGAAATGTTGCGTATGCGCTTGTAGCAGACTGTACAATACAGCTAAATAAAAAGGAGAAATCAGTAGCTTACAAAATCAGGGGTTTAAATTAGCAGATCTAAATTAGAACCAGCTCTAGCACCAGATTAGAATGGGCGCGACGATATATTCGTCGCTTACGTGATTCTTATTGCATTCTAAATCATCACTGGCGTTAGATAACAGTACTATCAGTGTCGCAGGAAAGATTCATTTTTTACATTCAATTTTTACAAGTGCCGGATATTTGATTACAAATGTTATAAAGTGTATCTGCTGTCTTGTTTTGAATAATCATTATTATGCAATATTAATCACTATTAAGGAAAGTATCATTATTATTTCTTCTATTAAATTATTTTATTTTCATATTTTACTTTATTTATATATGTAATTTGTGTTAGCATTAAATATTATATAAATGATAATATAAATGTTAATATAAATGTTAATATAAATAATAATAAAAATTATGGGAAATATACATATATGTATATTAAATATTCTTTACATATAAAATATTTTTTATTATAAAATATTTTTATCAAAAACTAATTCCAAGCATGTTTCACGCTGTTTTTTAATTGAAATTAAATGATCTCTAATTATTTAAATTTACTGATAATATTTAATTCATAAAAAGTTATCATTTAGATCAAATGTAATCTCATTTAAAAAATTCACAAATAAATTTTCCTGTAATTGATCTAACGAGGCGTTTAATTTTTGGCAGCAATCGCCGGTAATCAGCGAAACGAAAACTAACAAGGATGAGCCATGCGAAGGTACAAAAAGATTATCGTAGGCATAGTGAAGTCCGTTATAGAAAAATAGGAAAGAGAAATTTGCCACCGAATAAAATGGTGGGATTGGGCAGCGACGAGTTGTTTATTTCAAACATTGTCGATGTGAACAACATGGAATTGGAAATTAGCTCCGAAGATGAGAGTGACGAAAACGAGAGTGATATAAGACGGCTGATACCGTCGCCGGTGGATAACGAGAGCGTCAATTATAACGGCGGAAAAAGGGATAATCAGAGGGATGAAACGGAAAACGTAGACGACGAAAACGTCTGGTCTATATCCATCCAGATGTTCATACCTTTCTTGCTTGCTGGTTTTGGCATGGTCGCAGCCAGTTTGCTACTAGATGTGGTGCAGGTATTGAAAATTAAACCTTTAAAATTTTTGTAAGAATCATAAATATGCATTTTTGAGAAATTTTGAAACAAAATATTAATAAATTATTGTATTAATAAATTGTTGCCTATTAAGAGTTCTTTA